GCAGGATGAACCCTGAGCTCCCTGCCCTACATCAGCTGCCAGGTGAGGCAGGAAACCTCCTTCCCTGTGCAGCACCTGAGCTGAGACCTCAGACTCCCAGAGGCAACAAGTGAATTTTAACAGCATTCCATCAACGCTTCAATCTGGGAAACAGATTTGGTTTTATTTTGAAATCCCTCCACCACCATTTTCTTCACAGAAGCTTTGGAAGAAGGAATTCTGTCATTGAATAAACATGTCTGAAAGGGACAAAATAGATTTTAAGAGTAGACAATATGTGTTTAATGAGAGATTAAGTCAACTACTTCATAAGAAAGATGATTAAGAGTGTTTCTGGGTTGTGGGGGACAGGGGTGGTTGTAAGTGTGTGAGAAAGACAACAACAGAAATGAAGACAGGCTGGGACAGCTGGGACAACAACAGAAATGAAGACAGGCTGGGACAGCTGGGGCTGTTCAGACCTCACAGCACCTTCCAGTATCTGCAAGGAACCTCCAAGAAAGTCAAAGAAAGACTTTTCACCAGCAACTGTAATGACAGGACAAGGAGTTCAAACTGAAGGAGGGGAAGTTTAGGTTAGATATCCACGAGAAACATTTCCCTGTGAGGGTGGTGAGGCCCTGGCACAGGGTGCCCATCCCTGGAAGTGTTCCAGGCCAGGTTGGACCACCCCAGAAATGCAGAACAGACCATAATCCCCCTTCCCTGGCAAAGGGTTTTGAAGCATTGTTCAGCAGTGCTTGAGACACTGAGCTGAGCCTGGGCACAGAGTAAAAGGTCATTTGGTAATACAATGCTCACTTCCCACACACCCATTTTCACTTGACTAGAAACTGCTAATAACTTAACACCAGCCCCAAACAGTGCACACGGGCCACAGATATTAATAGGGGGTTTCAGTAGTGGTTAGAGATGAAAGTATTAATGAAAAATAGGTGTGGGTGCATTAGGAATATGAAATAGGCACCTTCACAGAGCAGACTTTCAGCCACAGAAATCCCGACTGAATGGAAAGTCACAAGTGTCTGCAATCAGCAGTTTCCAGAGCTGATGCACTTGTCAGTCCTCCCTGGAAAATGAGGGGTTCCTCAGGCTAGAGCCCAGCCTGGGGATTCCTTCTGCACAGGCTGGGCACAGGCAGCTGGGAAAGGACACACCCTGCTGCTCCCACTGGAGCTTCATCTGATGGGACATCCCCTGCCTGGTGTCCACACCACCTCACCTGGGACTAGGAGTGTTCAAGGGACGTTATCAAACGTCACTCAAACCCTGACAGCTGTCCTGTGAATTCCAAGCTGCAGAAAACACATGGATGTGGGGTGTCCTGCTTGATTTTCCCTTTCCAGGCTAAGGGATGCACCACAGGGAAGTGGAAGAGAAGGCATGAGGCAGTGCCCCTGGTTCTCAGCACAGCGTGTCCTTCTCATTCCCAGTGCTGCTCAGGTGTTATCAGCTCATTCTTTCTTTTTGTAGTTCCACCCACCCAGAGGGCTCTGAAAACATCATCCTCGGACAGCCTGGACCCAAGAGAGAAATGCCCCTTTATTTTTAAACTATTTTAAAATTCCATTATATTTTTAACCCACTCATCTGGAGCATGAGCCATGATCACTAGGTGCTGACAGAACCAGAAATGAGCACACTGGCTGTGCTTTGGGAATTGTCCCTGCAGCTGAGCTGTGGGGAAGAGGGCACAGCTTCAAGGGAAAAGAGGAGAGAAAGAAGGAAAGCAAACAGCAGGGGCATGCCAGTATCCTTGGAGGAACAGAGAGTCCTGTAAGTCCTCAAAGAAAAGGAAATTATAGGACTTTCAAGGATGGAGTTCCATTCCACACAGATTAAGACACAAGAATGCTGTTCCAGGTGCCCAGTCCTATTTCAAGAGAATCACGATGGAGGAAGCACTGGGAGAGAGAAAACAACGAGATGAAGGGAATTCTCCATCCAGTGGCATTCCTATTCTGGGCAGGGCTGTTCTACAGGGCACCAACTCCTTCCTGCAGTGCCAGATCTGCAGAGGGAGTTTGAGGAGGCCAGCAGAGAGCAGGCATGGCAAAGGGGACAGGGTGGCACAGGTGACAGCACCGTCAGGGCGTGCTGAAAGGTCTCACACAGTGGCAGTAGTGTCCCATCTGCAGGAGGAGCTCTGTCAGGGTGTGAGGTCAGCCTGCCTGAGCCAGCTCTGCCCACCCAAGAGGAGTGACTGCACAGCTCAGCAGCCTCTCACCACTTGGGGACTGTCCCAGAACCAGTGGTGGGTGGTGACAGCCTTGCCTTGGCTTCCAGATGCTGCTGTGTCACTGAGGTAACCTTTCCTCAGTCATTGGGGTTTTGGTTTCAGGCTGGTGAGTCAGGAGGAGATGCTGATCATCATCATCACTGCAAAATGAGTTCTCAGTTGTAAGTCAGCCAAGTGTGATTGTGCCTGGTCAAGGACACCTTACAAAAATGGAAGCACACCCTTGAATGGATGAAGCAATGCCTGGTAGAAGGGCTTGGGCTGGTTGGCCAGATTTGGTTCACAGGTGATATTTTACCCTCACCAAATCCTTGTTGTGATGTTGTCCTTCTGCTCACAGTAATTTTCCCCTCTTCGAAACCCAAACCAAAAATAAGGATAAAAATAATTCTGGATGACCTCAGGTCTGGAGTTCTGGCTCCAGAGCATCTTCAGAAATGACTTGGGATCACACAGTGTGCAGTTTTGATCCAAACTTGACATAATCATAATTTGAATATCTCCATTAGATTTGTTGTTTGCTAAGAGCAGTCTCCTGACACTCCTGTCTTCCCATCCTCTTTGTGCACCTTCAATCCCCTTTGGATCTAAACGCTCAACTTCACATTCCTCCTTATTTTTTTTAGCTTAAGATCATTCCCACTTGGCTTTTCTTTGGGTAGCTGAGTAAAAAATTAAAGCCACAAGAGGTCCAGTCAAAAGTGCATAAATCTCTCCTATATTAAAGTTTCTAAGGTCATTCCAAGGTGATTATATTGAACCTCTTAAAATTCTACCTATTAGTAACAAAATATCATCCTGTTTGGTAAATGTAGTAAACCAAATATTCTTTTTTTCTTTTCTGTACCTCCACTGAGAGGGAATCCACGAGAATCGGAAGCACAACGCGGGGCCTGTGCAGCCTCTTGTGCTCATCTGGTCCCCTTCATGTGTGGAATGTGCAATTCCATCTGGCAGCCACGAGCACTCCGAGCACATTTGTGGGGAGAGGGATTGCAGAGCTGTGGGAGGCACTGCAGAAGCTCCTGGTGCCACCAGGGGAATGGGCACAGAAAATGGAACAATACCAGGTGCACGCTGTACAAATGGGGATTTGATGTGGCTGTGAGAGGTGGAGGTGGGGAAGGAATAAGGTTTTGTTTGCTGTGTTCTGTCGCTGAGCGTGGTTACGTCCTGCCCAGCAAAGGGCAGCTGTCTGCAGGCTCCTGAGAGCAGAGGTTGCGGCACAGGGCTGGAACTCCAGGAGGGACTGCACTGCTGCACGACTCTGAGCTCACCCCTCTTTGATCTGCTGCACTAAACATGATCCCTTTGGTTGAGCTCCGTGCTTTGATTACAGGCTAAAAGCCGCGTGTGTACTTAAACGCCCGAGCAAATAGAGTGAGCTGTTCTTGGAAAGCGAGCGCTCGCAGTTTAATTTATCTCACTTATCCCTCCAGTCTGGCAGCTTATAAGTAACTGCTATGATCAGAGACAAGTTGTTTCCCATTCTATCTGGAGGCAAATAATAGTTTCACAGAAAGGGATCTGACACTCTCTGTACCTAAGTGTTTCTCACACATGGAACATTTGAAAATCACGATTCAAGTGCCGGCTGTCAGGCGAGGAGTCAGCCCTGGCTTTTTGTGGGGAAGCTTCTCCCTGGACCTGAGCCAGCCCGATGTGCCATGGATCAGGTACATCCTGAGGGTAATGAGGCAGCAGCAACACAACTACCACTGTGTTCTTCATAATAGGGACTAATGGGGCATTGCTGGAGAGTGACGGATGCCACGTGTGTAATTGTGAGACGGATGTGTGAATTTAATAGGGCACAGATTAGAAAGTAATCAATAAGTCTGGGCCAGAGCCTTAATGGAGCTGATACAGTGAGGAAATGCTGCGTGGCAGATCTTTGGAAAACAGCTAAAATTCCTAAATGTGGCACCTTCAGGAGTGGTGGAGGAGGATGCTGTACCCCTGAGGATGCAGCCCCCAGAGGAGGGATTTCTGGATGTTCCTGAAATGCTGGCTCTCCCCTCAGGTAAGACACGCACCTTTTACTCAGAGACCAACATCTTTGGTGATGCTGCAGCTCAAAGCTGAGCTCCTTCCTTCATACCAACTAGTCTGGTGCTTGCTGGGCTCCTGACAGACCCACCTGCTCTTTTGGGACTTCCTCAAGAGCTGACACCATAGCAAGAAACACTGTGTGGGTTAAAGCCCAAGCTCTGTTTTTACAGATGGATCCATTGGCTACAAAATTATGTGGGTTTTGAGTGAAAGCCCAGCCCAAAGGGTTTAACAAAACATGACTCAGTGATGCCCCAGGGCTGGGGGAGGGTTGCACCACGGGAGGGTATCTCCATCTTCTGAGAACACCAAGCTAGAGTGGATCTGTCCCACTGTGCACGAAGGATTCTTTATAAAACAAAGTGGAAAGAGGCACGTTACATCCTTTTATCTGAATGACACCAGCTTAGGTAATAGTGTTTTACTCCCTGTGGTGCTAAGCAAGGCATAAATCCTCTGAGAATTGAAGTAATAGGCATAAACCCTCCCCTCTCTTCTTCCCCCTGTGACTCCACTCTTCTCCACTCCTGTATTAATGGATATTTTATATCTGGAAGGAATTCAAGAGTCTGTAGTAGGTAGTTAAACATCCAGATGTATCAGTAATAACTATGCTCAGCTTGGGGAGGCGAGGCACTTGAATAACAGGCATGGTTTCCATGGATGGCTACAAGATTATAAACATAAAATTTATAAGTGGAATGGGAACATTTGGTTTATTTTCTCTTCTCTTTACAATCACTGCAGTTTAAATTGAAAACAGTGAAGGGTAGCAGAGCCAGGCAACAACCTGAAGACTGTAAACAAAATAATTCATGTCTTACTGATGGGATATGGTCATATAATCAGTAAATTAATTTAGTCTACTCTAGTTTCACCATTAACTTTCTATTTTCTCATTTCAATGGCATTTCCCTGCCCAGTTTATGTCTCTCCTCAATACATATTGTGCTATAAACCAGAAGCAAATATCTTGAAGGGTAAATAAAGAGGTAACGAGTCTACAAAAAAGATGTTATTGAAGTACATTAATTTCTACTTACTATCTTTTAAAATTTTCTTCATCCAAGATTCATTTTTACTATTTGATAGGTTTCCAATATAAAAGTAAAATGCCAAGATATTTGATTTTTACACTGTGTCCTTAGTACCTAACAGCACCAAATGTTTCCCTGAGACAAGACAAGTATTTATGACCTGGGAAGGGAGGAAAGGCTTGCGAGCCTGAGGGTATGAAATCAGGATGACTCAGAACAGGAGCTGGAAAATCACTTCAAAAGGTCTTCCTAGCCCTGACTGGGACAGTGGTTGTTCTAAGCCATGGTCTGGCAAGAGAGGAACCAATAATTCATATTGATTTAAAGCTGTCTTTGCTACAAAACAAAGCATCCATGATATCCATGTGCAAACCCTGTCTGTGCAATAGCGCATCTGTGAACGTGTGCAATTAGTGCAATTAGACAGCAATTTATATGTAAATGCCCATCCAGTCAAATGTGCCTTCACTTAACTTGTGAATGCACTGGAATATCATTTCAGAGGGGTTTTCTGCATTTTCAGAACCGGCCATTGATAACTGAATTGAAGAATCCCACAGTGGCAGGGCTCTGCCGGGGAGCTGTGGGCAGTGAGGTGCCAGGACACGGCTCTGTCCTGGCCATGACGTTCCCTGGGTGGTGCCAGGGAAGAATCCTGGAAGAGTGGCCTGCACTCTGCATGAGTTGCTTTCTCTCCTTGCATGGCAGAGCTGCTGTCTTGTCTCCTGGAGGATCTGAGGGGATGGAGCACCCCCAACTGCTGCCTCATGTGTGAGCTCAGGCTCGTTTCAGGAACCCCCTGATGTGGGTAGAACCCACCTGGTGGAAGTGTGATCTCCCATCAGCCAAAACCTGGGGCAGACCTGGGCTCTGGTCTTGTACAAGAGCAACGATTGGGTGTTAAATCTGGGAGCTCGGCACAGGGATGTGGATCATTGGCCATGATTGTCCTGAGAAAGATTAGGCTGTCACTCAAACCTCAGCTCTCAGCCACTGTCCTCAGGTGACCGTCAATTCCTCTTAGCCAAAAACCCCATGGTAACAGTTCTTTGTGCCCTTGACATGGCCCTGAGCACAGGAGGGCCTCAGCCTGTCCAGCTGCCAGAAAACCACAACCTCTCCCCTCACCTCTGCCTTGAGCTGGGGAATTTCCATGGGTGGGACCTGTAGCTCCATGAGAATTGAGAGAGCATCTCAAGGGTCTGCTGGATGAGGTAAATAAAGCACAACCTCTGCCCCTGACACCGGTTAGAGGAGCTCAAGTCTGTGCTCACGGAGCAGCACAATATTCATTTACCAAGAAGAGGATAAATTTTAATAGCAGGAATATTTTAACTGTTCAACATGCAAACAGGCTGCTGTGCTGATCTGATCAATGCTGCTTTGCAGACCACATTTGCCATGGTGCTATATATAGTGTTCCTGGAGTTTTATTTAATAGGATGCTACATTTGATCCTAATGTGCCATCTCAGAAATAATGAAGCAGAAAAGATCTTTATCTTCTGTGAAAGTTGCAGTTATTGGCAGCCATTCAGAAAAAAAATAAAAGTAATTGCACAATCTTTGGAGATATTGTATTGCTAACTGATTTCAGTGTGAAGCTTGGGTGGTTTTCATTCTGAGTTAATCAGGCAATGGACCATATATGTTGCAAATACATCACTTTCAGACACTCTCCACATATTGACAAATACAATTGCTGGGGCTGCTGCCTGAACCAAAGCTTTCTGTATCTTTGGATCCTTCTTTTGGGGCAAAATAAATAAATAAGTGAGCAGAAGAAGGAGGACTCTTTACAGCGTGCCAAAGCACTCCTCTCGCAGGAGCACAGCACCGTTTGCTACTCGGCTGCATTATTTTGGAGCAACTGATGCAGATGGCTCAGGAACTGGTGTGTTTGGGATTGCTCAACGTGCTAAATATAGAGCTGGAAGTGGAGACAGGGCCCTAAATTCAGCAGGACTCAGTGAGGCTGTGATTACATTTTAGTGCTGCTACCGTGGCACTGGAGCTGGACACCTTGTGAGGAGCCCCCATGGGGCAAGCAAAGAGCAAACCAAGAGCTGCTGAAGTGGCAGGAGGTACTGGGGAGAGCTCTGCAGGGTTAGCAGACCCTCTGAAGATGTGTCTCCACCACTCCAGCATCATGAAGGCTTCTCCACTGAGTGTTGAAGTCCATCCCCCAAGGACAGCACCTAAGGCATGGGGCTGTCTCCATGGGAGGGGAGGAGGCAGCCCCAGGGCCTCCAGTGAGTTCCCACTGCACTCTCAGTCTCCAGCTCAGTGAGCATGTGGGGGGAAATGCAAGGAATTTGAGGATTTTGAGAAGTTAGATTTTGAGTTTGTGCCTCAAAATGCAATTGGAGCTGCTTGAAACCTTCTTGTGAATCTAGTTCTACAAAACCTTTGAACACCAGGCTTTCCTGAGGGCTGGATGAGCTCACCCTTCTCTCCCTGAGGACTTTTCATTTTCTGAGCAGCAGAAGCCCAGGGATTCTGTACCCACATCCATGTGAAATTAGGTACTGTGCACACAGATGTGTGACACATGTGGGCATGGAAAAGCAGGAGCAGGACACTCCCAAGTGATTCCTGGCCCTGGAGTCCCAGGGGCAGCTGTGGGGACAGCTGCATTTGTCACAGAATCAGCTGGGAAGCAATCAGAGGTACCAGTGGATGGGTGGTTCCCTCATTGCTGGCAGTGATGCCTTAGGATTTTAGCTTTTATATTTCTCAAATCCTGTTCTGCATTATTGCATAACTCAGAGCTCCATGTAGAGCACCAGCTACTGTCCTCACATTATGGTCAGACAAAACAATCCCTGTAGGCCTGAAATTCAAGGACACTCTGCCTCAGGCCCTGAAAACAAAACAAAAGTGAGGGAGGGGGAGGAAACTCGGGGTAAATTACTTCATTACCTGCAGCTGTAATTGGAGCATTAACCCCCGATTTGTAAATGGACCAAAGCTATGTCTGTCTGAAAAGCTCCTGACCATCATCCACCTTGAGTGTCGCCCCTCGGAGGCTTTTGGCTGTCCAGGGTGTACCTGTTTGAAGGCCTTTAATAAATACCCACTTTTTAGTCTCTTAATCTTGCCTAGTCTCTGTTCTAGGTAGGCACTCCAGGGCATCAGTAGCAGCTGCAGAGCCTCTGTCTCCTCTGTGTTCTGGCAGGGCTGGTTTTGCCACCATTCCTTCAGTTTGTGCAGGAACCTAGGAATGTTACCAAAAATCCATTGGTACACTGGTACATTGAACAGGAGGATTTGTCACACTTTCTCCCAGGGTCATGGGTAGAAAGCCCATCTGTTTCCAGCAATATTCCCTAAAGGATATTTGGAATCAACCTGGATCCCTTTGTGTACCTATAACTTGTTTGAAAGCTTCCTGAAACGAGTTCCTGAAAGCTTTCTGTGTCACTCACAGCTTAGAGCAGTTCCCACCTCAAAGCTGGGTGAAGTTGCTCATGGTCATATCCGGTCAAGTTTGGAAATGTTTTAAACATGGAGATGCTTGGGGTGTGTTCTCCTGTGCACACACGACATATGTAACGTGAAATCTTTGTGTCTTTATGTGTCCTGATTTGCACAGCCCAGAATTCCACCAAGAAGTTGGTAATTTGGGTTGATTAGAGGCTTTGCTGATGTTGTAAAGCCAGTGGGAATAGGACAGAAACCACCCCAAAAAGCATTACAAAGGCTGCATGCAGGAAGCCAAGCAAACGCTGCAGCAGCATCCTGAAAGCAGGGACAGCCAGCACTGGCACCGAGAACAAGGGCCCAGCTCAGAACATGAGGCCATGGCCTTCAGGACAGGAACCTGCAGAGCCTTTCCCCTCCCCAGGCTCTATCACAACCTGGAAATATGGGGTTTGTGACTCTGCTCCACCGTCTTTATAAAGAGTTCACCATGGGCTGCAGGTTTTTCTGTGAGTGCCCGTGAGCTGCAGCAGAGATAGAAAATAATTTGTTTTACAATGGAAACTTTCTGTAATGAGAATGGTGGGGCTGGGCTGTTTCTCAGCAGCCTCCAGGTGATGAGGTAACCTCCCTGACTCTGTCTCTTCAAGAGATGTCCATCCAGTGGCGTTACTTGCCTTCCTGTACGGTCCTGAAATGGTAAGTGAAAAACATCCTAAAAGGAAAAATGACATCTCACATGATAAACCCCCTTTTATGATCTTTCACACCCCATTAACAGCTTGGTGTTCATGGTCCTGGACACCAGGTACCTGCACTCAGCACCCTCCAAAAAGGAGAGTTGAGGATGGGCATGGAGCTCACCCTCCTGAGAGCTGCCAGGGGATGTAGCTCTCTACTGCCTGCTCAAGATCTCCTGCCTTTGTGAGGGTGTTTCCTGGGAGCTCTGGGGGCTCTGCTGGCTTGAATCCTCTTACTGTGAAGAGTTCCACAGGCTCAGTGATGTGTTCAGCAGCTTCCCCTCCTCTGCTTGGTCATGTAAATGTCAACCTGAATCATCAGGACAGAAGCAAGAGTATCAACAGCTGAGTTTCCTGTCCCAGCAGTGACATTTAGAGCATTATTCAAGCCAGTGATGGTGATAGGGAGGACTTGCAGGAGCTTATCAGAGGATCCAAATCACTCATGAGGAGCCTCATCAGAAGATGTGTGGTAAAGGGCACCAAATAAACAAAACTGTGCCAAAATCTGAGGTGTTTCAGTCTCAGTCACAGCACACATCCTCCTTGGGCTGTTCCCAGAGATCTCTCACCATTTCCCTGCCTTGGGCTGCCTCAGTGCTTTGGGACAGCTTGCCTGCACCCCCAGACACTTTGGGCTGCTCATGGATGCCCCATCCCTGCGAGTGTTCAAAGCCAGGTTGGACAGGGCTTGGAGCAGCCTGGGACAGTGGGAGGTTGAACTAGATGGTTTTTAATGTCCCTTCCCACCCAAACCATTCTGGGATTCTCTGATTCTGTGGAGAACTTCACGAATGCTTGTGGAGAGTGGGCAGAACCCCCCCCTTTTCATTGTACTCTCATCCCAGGGGCTCCAGACACCACCCCAGCCTCAGTCTACGCTCCCCAGCACCGAGGTGGGCAGGGATTCCCCCTGCAGTCTTGATTTTCCATTGGGAGAACATTTGTCCCAGTTAATCCTCATATTTAGCAGGAAGGATGCTGCTGAACTGGTAGAGCTGTTTCCTCTTTTCTTTGAGTGAATAATGTACAGGAGCCTCTGTGCTCCTGCTCCCTGATTCCAGCACTCAAGCTTTGATTGCCATCTCAGTGGTCCCAGTGAAACTTGTTTTTTAGGGATTTATTATAAAAAACACTGAAATTCCCTTTGGGGCAGTAGCTTGGCGAACACTTAATCAACACAAAAATGAGAGCTAAGCTCTAAGTGATCCATTTTCAATCAGCTTCTCCCTCAGATACACTCCTGCCTCCAAGATGTAAATGAAGAAAGACTTTTTAGGGAAAATAATTAAAAATAAAAAAATCCTCCCTCCAGCCCCCATGCTGGCAATTATTTCTTCCATCCTAAAAATCACTGGTACAGACACTCACTGGAGCGAACGGATCTGAGCAACACGGTCTAAAATCAGTAAAAGCCCCCTTAGGCAATATCTTTTAGGTTCCCTATTTTCTTCTCTGAAACTTCTCACTGTGATTTGTGGCGAAGGAATCTTTCTCTATTTTTAATCACCTTCATCACAATCCCTGCTCTCTCCTCCTCCTGGCTCCTTGCTGGGAGCTGCCTGGCTGTCTGTCTGTCGGTCACGTTTGGAAGAGTGACAGATTGCCAGCTGGAAGGGAGGCACAGTCTGGGAGTGCAGTCTTTAGCTGATAATAACTATTTCATCAACATCAGTTCTCCTGTTTTACAAAGCGTAATTCATAAGAAGAAAACCCTCTCAGAGGTTCTCACAATACATAAAAGCATATAAATAAAATATAAATGAAGAAAACAAGACACATTAATTACATACAGCAGAACAGGCTCATCTAAAAAGCTTGCTTGTCAGTTTTGATCTCAAGTTTGCTGGTGATATACTGCTTTTTATGGCTGGTGGAAGAGAGCTGGAGAATAATCCTGTCCAGGGATGAAAAGCCAGTGTGGCTGGAGCCTGGACAAGAGGGCCACACACAGGCCCCAGGCTTGGGTGAACAAGAGAGCCAAGGGGAGCAGAATTTAACACACTGAACTGCAGGGCAAGAGAAATGATGGATCCATTTCAAGGTGGGGTGGAGACTTTTGAAATTTGCTGGGGTCTGAGCACAGAGGAGGCACAAAGCAGGGGAGGTGGGCACATCCCCAGCCCTCCCAAAGATGATCAGCCACCTTTGTGCACACCAAGAAGAATGTCAGGAGGGGAGCAGGAGTTTAATTAAGCCTGGGAACATTCATGGGTGTATGAATCAATGTCTCTGTGAGACAGGGGGAAGCGCTGACAAGAGCCACAGGGGCCAGCAATAATTCATAAGCAGTACAAAATGAAGCTGGTCGTGCAATTGATCCAGAGGCACAGCACGTGTTTGCTCTGGGAGAACACGATTCCAGGGAAAGCAGAGCTCCTGGGGGCTCTTCCCCAGCTCCAGCCCTGCTGGCAGGGTGCTGGGATGGGCAGTTCTGCAAAAGGATATGGGAAGAGGATAAAGAGAGAGTGAAAGCAATGAGAGGGACTGAAGTTTGAGTGGCAGAGGGCTCACTGCAGCCAGTGCCACCACTCCTGGGGAGATGGGAGAAGTCCCTCTGAACACACAAGGTTGCTGCTGGTTTGTTTCCATACCCTGGGTCTGAAGGAACACCGTGATGGGGCTGCTTTGGACTGAGAGCTCTCAGCCAGGAGGGCTTGAAGACTGTCTGGGTAAAAAATGTCTGGTCAAGCAGGGAGAAATGCTGTGGGGCAGATCTGGACTAGGGAGTCACAAAGTACAGACTTGTCACCATTTCTTTCACAGCAAGACAAAACCCGTTGTGTAAGCTCCATGCCTTGGGTGCCAGCAACATTTGGAAAGTTCCTAGAGCAGGCAGAGAGGCCTTTGAAAAGCGTGGTGCCATCATTTGTAAACCTTGCGTGCCGCACAGAAATTCAGCTGCTCGTGCTTTGTGAGGGCAGGCCCAGGGGCTATCGCTGTGCCTATCAGTATGTGAGGGACATGTGGATAAACATATGATCAAATGAGTGTCACAGCTCCCTGGTGCCGTGCCAGGCAGCATCTGTGTCAGCTGCTGGCAGGGACTTCTGCAAACTTGCGTCTCTCTGCATCCCGGAGTTTATCAAAGATCACACAGCAGCCAGCAGCCTCTCGCAGCTGAAAGACCAAATAAATCTGTGCCTTGTCTCCCAAGGTCCTTCCTCGGGGGCTGTGCCAACAGGAGCAGGGGTGTGGGAGGGCGGAGGGTTCACACACACTGTCTGCACGCCCTGGGCTGCCTGGCTCCAGGCTGTGGAGGTGCTGGAGACACCTGGGGAGGGCTGGGGAGGCTCTGCTTCTCCATAACAGCCACGGGAGCCTCTGGGAGGGAGTTTTCCATGGAAAAGTGGGCTGGAGTATTGCTGGAGTGGAGGGAATGAGGGCAAATATCGCCCTACAAGATTTGCTGCCTTGAGGGCTGCTAAGTGCAGGCTCAGTGCTGGTTTGGCTTCATTCCTCTGGGTGTTCAGGATGTCACCACCCTGCTCATGGAGCTTGCAGGTGGATTTAGTGCATTTTCTCTCAACAGGAACACTACTGTGTTGGCAGCCCCACTGGGGAGCAGGTTTTGAGAAAGCCTAATTTGGGTGAAAAAATTGCAGGCATCTAAAAACACGGAATGCGTTCAGGCTCATTATGGTTATGTAACCATCTTCAAATTCTGCAGAATATGAAATGCATCCCTTTCATGATTTGAAGTTAATGTAGTTTTACTGAAAACATTGTTAAAAACAAAAAATAAGAAAAAAATTTGAAGTGAACAGCTCTATTTTGGTTCAAAAAAAGCATTCAGTTTTCTCCACAAAGATTTTTTTTTTCCTGATGTTTACTGGTTTCATTACCTCTGTGTGGTTTCAATCATGGATCCCTGTGCCATGGGGGCCTGCTGGCACAGGCACTTTCTGTGTGCTCAGGATGTCAGTGCAAGGCTGGGGCAGCTGTGGAAGGACAGGGTTGATGTGCTGATGGCTGTGGGTGTCTGTGCTGGGCCACCAGGACCCAAAGCTGGGCAGCGCTTGTTCAGTGGGGTCCCCAACAGGAGAAAGGTGTGAACCCATTGGAGTCAGCCCAGAAGGGGCCACCAACATCATCCAAGGGCTGGAGAAGCACTGCTCTGGAGCCAGGCTGGAGAGCTGGGGGTGCTCACCTGGAGAGGGGAAGGTGAAGGGAAAACCTCAGAGCTCCTTGCAGGGCCTAAAGGGGCTCCAGGAGAGCTGGAAAGGGACTGGGGACAAGGGATGGAGTGACAGACAAGGAGTCATGGCTTTACACTGACAGAGGGCAGGGTTAGAGGGGATATTGGGGAGGAAAATCTTCCCTGTGAGGATGGAGAGGCCCTGGCACAGGGTGCCCAGAGCAGCTGTGGCTGCCCCTGGATCCCTGGCAGTGCCCAAGGCCAGGCTGGACAGGGCTTGGAGCAGCCTGGGACAGTGGAAGGTGTCCCTGCCCAGGGCAGAGGAGGGATTGAAATGAGCTTTAAGATCCCTTCCCACACAAACCACTCAGTGATCCAAGGATTCTGTGATCAGCTGCTTTTATTCCCCCAGTGCCCCACAATCTCTGCTCTGAAGGACAAGCCCAAGATGGGAAGCTCAGCTGAGCTGGGGATGGCACAAGCCATCCTGGGCCAGCAGCAGTCCCCAGCTGGGCTGCATGTGGCAAAAGCTTGTTTAAATGCTGTTAAACTACTGCTGGTTTGAGAAACCCCTCTGGGTCTCAGGTTGTGAGTGCAAAGCCTCCCTCAGCACTGCCTGCTGTCAAATATTAATGCAGTTC